TGAAAAAATGGTTACTTTGAAAGGAAAAAAGGTTAATTTTAAGTTAAAAAAGAGTTATTTTGTTATTAAAAAGGGCTAATATAAAATGAAAATAGGTTTATTTGAAATTAGAAAGGATTAATTTAAAAAATTTTGATTCAAAATTGAAAAGTGTTAATTTTATTTAAATATGATATTAAAAAGAGTAATTTAAAATTAAAAATGGTTAATTTGAAGTTAAAAAGGGTTAATTTAAAAATGAAAAGGGTAATTTGAAGACCAAATTAATTTAAAATTAAATAGTGTTATTGTTAAGGGAAACTGATATGGTGAAGTGTAATTTAAAATTTAAAAAATTGTTAATTTGGAATAAAAAAGGTTAATTTGAAGAAAAATGGTTAATTTAAAATTACAAGAAATGATTAGTTTCAAAATTAAAACGGGTTAAAAATTAAAATGAAAAAAATGTTATTTAATATTTAATTTGATGACTAATGTTAAAAATGGTTAATGTAAAATAAGAAGCGATTATTTATTGTAAAAAAAGGTTAATTTGATGTAAAAAAATTGTTAATTTGAAAGTAAAAAATGTTTATTTTAAATTAAAAGTTTTTTTTTCTAAAGTAGTACAGTCCAAGCTATTAAGTCCATAATAGAGAATCTGGAACTAAAAGAAGCTTTCTTCAAACACAGATTCTCTAATTTAAAAAAGAGTTATTTTGATAACTTAGAATGGATTTATTTAAAAAATTTTGATGTAAAATTAAAAAGTGTTAATTTCATTTAAAAATGAAGAGTCATTTGACATTAAAAAGAGTAATTTAATATTAAAAATTGTTAATTTGAAATTAAAAAGGTTTAATTTAAAAATCAAAAGGGTAATTTGAAAAAAATTAATTGAAAATTAAAAAGTATTAATTTTATGGGAAAATGACTAATTTGATATTATAAAGAGTAATTTGAATTAAAAAATTGTTAATTTAGAATTTAAAAAGGTTAATTTGCAGAAAAATGGTTAATTTTTAAATTAAAAAGAGTTAATTTGATAGAAAACGGCTAATTGGACACAAAAAATATTAATGTGATGTAAAAACCAATATAACCCAGACAATGTACTTGTTATTTTCGTTGTAGAACTGTGTTCTTTGTTTTAGAGAAAAATAAATTCTTATGTTGGCGTATATTTTACCAAGGGTTATCATAAAAAGCGATATGCTTCTCGTTGAAAATGAGCTCTCTCCCCTTCCTTGGGGAGTTTCCATTTGGATGGAGCATAATATCGAAGGTATACGGAAGTAACCAGAGATACGAAGCCTTACGGCCGCTCCCTGAGGGACTTCCTCGGCGAAGCAGGTCGATCCTTAACACGTGTCATTTACTCCGCGGTCGTTATTTAACTTTTTGTTTTTCAAATAAAAACGTCTTCTTTTACGCAAGAACGGCCAGGGTCGTTTAACCCGGGTGGAGGTTGATGAGTCGAACTTAACGGAAGTGAAAATAACGGGTTTGACAAGTCAGTCGTACGAATTACGATTGCACCTCGTCCGGATTAATTGGGTAATGACGAATGATGATGATGATGGGGTACGGTTGCATTGTCAAACACGCCGGATGGTTCACGTTTTAAAATCATTCCGGCTGCCTAGCATTCTTTAAAAATTTCAAAATTACAAGGATCATTCTGTTCAAAATTATGAAATTCTAACATAATATTTTAATCTAAATTGTTGAATCAAGCCTTTAAAAACCAACAAACTCAGTTTTATGCTCAGTACAAATTGATTTCCTCATAAATTAATTTCCATTTAGTCAAACGGCACAACCGAATTTGCCCTGAATTTGACGATTGGCCAGAGCAAATAAAGACAACTTGGGATTCCAGCAGTGTAAAAAAGAAACTAAATTCACGAGTGACCCCAGAAAAACAATTAAAGAAAGTTTATTTATGTTTTATTCAATAGGATCAAATACTGTAAATAAAATCATAATTTAAAAACTTAATTTAATTAAAGCTGAATCACAACTATTAATGAAACGCAGAAAGACGTTACATGAATTGTGTAAAAACAAAAAGGAAAATTGGCCTTAAAAATGGCGAAATAATTAATTGGAAAAGTTTGCTTTTGTTTTTAGCCTGGCTTAAAGTCGCCTTGAAGTGCCAGGATACATGATAAACATTGAGTAAAAAGTTTCATTTTCGACCATTTTAGCCACAAGAGGGCAGTTGAAAAAGAAAAAAAACATTAATATTATTATATTATTACCTTAAAAAAATAACTGAAAATACTAAAATGAGTACAATTGCTAAAGACAAATCAATCTAGTCTTCCACTAATCGACTAATTTATGTCCAAATATAGACTTGTGTATATATAGATCTGTCCGTATAATTATTTTTAACTTCAGATTAACCTATTTTTAACTTCAAAATTACCTTTTCTTTATTTTCAATTAACCCTTTTAATTTTCAGACAAACTGTTTTTAACATGAAATTGCTCATTTTTTAAAGCATTGGTCAATGTACAGGATTGTATGAAATAAAAATCATATACACAACATCCTGTAAATTTGCAAATTATGCTGTAAGAACATGCTGTAAAATATAAAATAATTGGGCTCCTGTATCAAAGTATATTTTTAACTTCAAAACAACCTTTTTTAACTCCTAATTAATCGTTTGATATTTCAATATAACCATTTCTTAACATTAAATAACAAACTTGAAATTAACGTTTTCTTTAAACCATTTAACAAACTTAAGAGATGAAATTAAATAAAAATATATATACTAAAATTCCTGTAAATTTGCGTGTTTTTTAATATAAAATAATGGGCTCATAGATAAAAGACCACATTTAACTGCAATTTAAATGGTTGATTTTAAATTAGCTTTTTTAACATTACATTCACTATTTTTAACTTCATATTAACTGTTTTTAATAATTTTAATTTAACCCGTTTTAACACGAAATTAATCTCTTTTCATTTTAAATTAACCCTTTTTAACATTAAGTTATTCCTTCATGATTTCCAATTAACCATTTTTTTACATTAAATTAATCCCTTTTAGGGTTAAATAATGCTTTTTTCGGTCAAATTAATTAATATTAGATTAAAGATTTTTAATTAGCTTTTTTAACATTACAATCACTCTTTTTAACTTCATATTAACTCTTTTTAATAATTTTAATTTAACCCTGTTTAACTTCGTTTAATCTTTTTTTTAATTTCCAACTAACCATTTAATGTAATTTAATTTCAAATTAACTTTCTTTTAAGAAATTGTTTATTATTTCGTGTTTTTTTTTTGTTTTTTTTAATATATGAAATCATTCGGTTCTTAGAAGCCCTTATGAAAATGATTTACTATTACAATTAAAAATTATATAAAAATAAATGCTTAAAAAAATACAAAAAATAGTTTTTTGTTATTTGAAAATCTTTTTAGAGTTTTTAGTTCTCAAATAGACAGTTCTTTTAACTCTTTAAAGGAATGGTTAATTTGAAATTAAAGATACTTCATTTGAAGTTTAAAAAAATTTATGTAAAGTTAAAAAGATTTGATTTTTCATTAAAAAGGACCAAGTTGAAATTAAAATGGTTAATTTCAAGTTGAAAAATAAATGTAAAGTTAAAAAGATTTGATGTTAAAAACAGGCTAATTTGAAATTAAAAGGGCGGATTCGAATTTTCAAAAGTTAAAATGATTTGATTTCAAGTTAGAAAGCGCTAATTTGAAATTAAGAATGGCTAATTTGAAATCAAAAGGGCAAAATTTAATTTACAAAAGCTAATGTAAAGTTTAATAGATTTTACTTGAAGTTAAAAAGGGCTAATTTGAAATTAAGATTGTCTAATTTGAAATTAAAAGGGCGGATTCGAATTTAAAAAGTTTATGTAAAGTTAAAAAGATTTGATTTGAAGTTAAAAAGGATAATTTCAAATTAAAAACGGCTAATTTGAAGTTAACAATGGTTTATTTCTAATTGAAAAGGTCTAATTTTAAAGTATAGAGGCTAATTTTCAATTAAAAAGGACTAATTTGAATTTAAAAAAGATTAATGTAAAGTTAAAAGATTTGATTAGAAATTAAAAAGGTTAATTTGAAAATAGTAGGTCTAATTTGAAGATAAAAAAGTTAATTCGAAATTAAAAAGGGTTAATTGCAAATCGAGAAGGGCTAATTTAAAAATTAAAAAAATAAGATTGTTATTTATATATTCCCTTTATACATAATTAATCTAGTTTTGGTTCGATGGGGTACCCAATAATCGGCCATCGGCTCTGTCATACTAGACATTCACGAGAATAAATACGTTCCCTATCAATACACGTTAAGTACACAAAACTATGAATGTTATTTTCAAAAATACAACCCTCGTTATTCCAAGAATCCAAGAACAGGGTACTCAAATACTCGCTGCCGTGCCATGGACATTTGTTATATCGTGGTGGCATTCCGATATGCTGTCTATATGCAACCAAGAAATTTCACCATTCACAGACACATCGAAAAATTTAAATTCCGACCACATACGCTTTCATCCAAAATTGTGCCCGTGTTTCGACCTCGTCCTATGCTTAATCAGATACTTAAATAAACGCGAGAGTCACCCTAAGAACACAGCGGTGGTAAATAAATTTATTTTTGATGTGAAAAAAAAACAGAGAAGAGAATTTGATATGGTTGTGCCAACTGTAAATAAATATAGAACATGATACAGTGAAACGTGATAACTTGAGGGTACCGTAAAAATATGCAGTTGGTAGATTGAAATGTAAATCAGAAATTATCAGCATGTAAGTCACTTGGAGGAACTCCGGTTGGAATTGCAAAACGGCATTGGAATTCTTGATGCGGCCCCCTCGACGATTCCGCACATCCATCCAAAGAACGGGCAGACGAGAGTGAATTCTACGCTAAAGCCATCATTCTTCTTGGATAAATATCGCTGTTTGGTGTTTTTTTTTACTGCTGGAATCTCTAAAACTACGTGGCTAAATAACTGGGGCTACTTACTTGTGCACGTTATCCGGCCGACTGGTAGACACGAGCTGGCACATTGATCCCGCCCACGCCGGCTTTCTACGGTCACAAGGAAAATCCAAAACCTGAAAAACAATTACGAAAACATAAAATTCGGCACAGAAACAAAAAATTCGGAAATTACATCTTTTCTCAGTATTACAAGTATCGACCACTTTTTCACTTACGAACACTCTGGATCAAGGTATCAAGGAAAGAAGAAATCGAATTAATTTCCGAACACTCTGAAAGTCTTGAAGAAGAAAGCAAATTCAGTTCTTAGTGCCAAGATTTCCACCTATTTTGAGATCAACATCAGTGCAAAACAACCTTAAATACGTCTACATATTGACATATTTAAGTGTTGTTTTTTTTACAGGCGATCTCAAATTTCCTTGAAGACCGATTCAGTTCCAGCATTGCCAAGGACTGTAATAGTGGCTTCACCTTTAAAAAAACTTAAATATCTTTATATAACGTAAAATATTAAATCTTGCCACTAAAAACTGAATTTGCTTTCTTCTTCAAGGCCATACCTTGATCCAGAGTGTTCGGCAATTAATTCGAAAGGTTGTAGGTTGAAATGGGGAGTTGGTGTCCGAGTGGATCACGATATCTCAAGGGGTTAGAGCGGAGTATTGAACCGAAGGTCGTGGGTTCGAATCCCACTCGTGACACTAACTTTTTTTTCAATTTCAACCAAAAACCTTACATAAAAAGATTAATTAATTGAAAGAAGTAATTTGGTCAATCAAACCACTAAAAATAATGGATTATAGATTATGTACGTTGGGGTAGAGGGGAGGGTCACAAGGGATTTGAAAAAGTCTAGTGAAGTAGAAAAACAACTTAATAGCAACTAAGAAAAAAATCACCACAATAACTATTTTTCAAAACCCTTGTAATCATTTAGAAAATTAAAATTTCCTTCTACCTATATATTATAATAATATTTGAAAAGACCTAGTATACCATCTCAGTTTATCTTCTTTTAAAATGGCTACTAGATCTGACGGAATCCGATGGAATATCTTACTGAGGACTTCTGAGGAACCAAGACCTTACGTAAAAAGAATAATTAATTAATGGTAATTATTGGTTAGCAAAGGTAAGGAATGTTTATCAACGGTGTGATTAGAATTGGTAGTTCTAATAATATATATGTGTATTAGCCAATATTAATGCCATAGCAAGTAATTCTTTAGTCCAACCAAGTCTTTTTATTATTATTGTAAAATGGTTTGAAAAATGGCAAAAGGAGGGAAAACTCATAAGGTGGGGTTGAGATGGGGAGTTGATGTCCGAGTGGATCGAGGTCACGATAGCTCAGGTGGTAGAGCAGCGGCGTATCTAGCCGAAGGTCGTGGGTTCGAATCCCTCTCGTGCCATTACCTTTTTTCATCTCAACTAAAAAACCTTAATTAATTGTAAATTATTATTGTATTTATACTTAGTTAAAAACAGTAGGCGCGCGTCGTTGGCCCCAGATTTGTTGATGGTCATGCTAATATGGAATGTTTAATGAATGTTAAGAAAGTCTAGTGAAGTAAGGCACAAAGAAATTAACGTGATGATAATGATGAGATAAGTACTGCTAAGCAAGATTTTGGTGTTCCAGCGTTTTGTATTGTGGTGACCTCCTGTGCTTACCAACCCACCTACAAAATGTCGCCATTGCATCACCAATGGTTTTCTCTACTATCAACGAGATCTTAAACACCACTCACTAATGAAGTAAGCCGGAAGCATTAACAACAATAAGAGTATTCGCAGTATCGTCATTCGCACTCTTATCAGCTGACGTGGCTGTCTGCTGCACGAAGCATGAAAGTCTTCATTCGCTACTGAGTCTGCCCAATCTCGCTACAACCGATTCCGGCTAATCATCATCACTCCACGGACTTCTACTCCATCCATAACACAGCTTGAACCGATTAACATTACTTGGTTAATTCTCATATTAATAGCAATATGTATACGAATTTGCTTCTAAGTACTTACATAATAAACACCCTTTTTTCATGTCTTAGCTCTTCAAGGGGTAAGGAGGACATCTAGTTTAAGGAGCATCCTCATACTCTCTTGAAAACTGGCCAATTAAAGATTTTTGAAGAATCCGTCTTCACAGATATCGTTGAGCAGAAGGAAGAGTATGTAAATCCTCAATTCCTCTTATGAACGGTTGGCTATCCTTCGTTTGTGAAGCTCAGCAGACAGAGTAGTTTAACCAACTGTGAAAGATACATGGGAGGGCACTGTTTTAATAACCGTAGAGGAAAAAGACATGCTATGCCCAGAGGTAGCCATAGAGACCATATCCTTCCACACTGCAGCAAACGAGCTTGAAGAAACATTTTATAACCAGGGCTCAACCTGCCCTTAATAGATACGTCTACGAGATTTCCAATAGCACTTATTGATGGAGCAAACCTTAAGCACCCTCGACCGCCGACTTGCTGAAAGAGACCCTCCGCTTGCTATCGAGTCTACTGGCTCTTGTTGCTTCAACATTCCGCTCATCGACATCAGGTCTCGGACTTCACTATTTTCAAAGCCACCAAAAACTCGGTCACTAAAGGATGATTGTTCTTTACATTGTTTCTTAGTTCCGTTCAATTTCGTTCTTTCTTGTAAGAAGTAGTAGGTTACTGGGAGTCATGACTAATTTTTTCCCGTGCTTTCTTTATACCCAAGGTTATGTCTCTATTGAGCGGAAGGTTCTCATTTGGTTATAACATGGCTGTTTCTTACTCCTTAAGTTTTAACCTTAAAATGAGTAATCATTGAATAAAGTCATATGAGGTTGGTTTTTTAAACGACAGTGACTAGTAGCCCTGCCTTTCCCCGAAATGTTACCCTGTCTAACCGAAGCGTTATGCCAGGCTTAGTGAGTCCTCTCGTAAGTTTACTGCATCTCGGACCTACATAGATTTCATCCAAAATTTGGTTTTTGTGTGGGTCCATTTGAGCCGGAAGGCTTCTGTATTTGTCCTTGCTTATGGCCCATCCACCTTTAAACAGTGTGCCTGCTTATTCATTGCCCGGAATTCCTTAGTGCCCTGGCACTCATGGATTTTCAGGTTGATAAGTTTACATAGTTTCTGAAGATTTCGGTTCCATTCACCGACGAGCAGGTTATGACTGCTTGTCTGATATAATAAAGGACGTTTTGGCAGTGTTACTCCTTTGAAGTTTTTTTATGATACAAACATTGATAACGCATATATCAATGTACGACCCGGTTCCTTCACGGTTTTGGAGCTAGCTTTTAGCTAGTATAGTTTTTTCGTTGGTTTTCCATTCAGTTCCCATGAGAGGGATCTAGAATATATTTTTAAATAACAGGGTACACCTACATAAGCAACGAGAAGGTGGAAAGACGAATTTGAGTTATAGAGGCTTATGTAAAAAGGAAAACTGAAAGATCTTAGAGTTTTAAGGATGGGAAGGAATTGTGATTGATAACTGTTTGGGGGTAGTTAGGAAAATATTGGTAAAGATTGGTGAGTAATGGTTTGAGAATTTTAACTGCAGTGATTGAACTTTTTTTGCTACTCTGAGTGACCATAAATTTTGATATTTCACCACCGTTAATTGGATTATCCGGCTCAGTCCCTGCCCGCTCAAACAATGGCCAATCTTCCAAATGAAACGTCAGGAAGGAAACATTTATTTTATCTCGTCCTCTCAGCCCCAACCGGGGGTGTACTCGAAGAATTGGCCAGCGCCGAATAGGGGCGAGATTAAACTGTCAATCCAAAAGAGAAAAATATCAGGATGATTGACTGAAAAGGGGGTTGCAGATTGTTTTCCCGTCGATTTTCCGGCCAATTGGTATAAAGTGGAAGAGGAAATGGATATTTTTTTAAAGTCCGTTATTATCCGAAAACTTTTCGTTCAACCCAACATTGCTGGAAAAACAAATATTAGTTAAACTCAGCTGTGATACTTCTAACCATGTTTTGAAAATTTGTTCATCCCAAACCAGTTTTTGTGTATATAATTAAATGGAATTCGTTTGGCTCAAGAACTTTTTCGAACGCGTTGCCTAATTTCCGAAGGCAACGTTTAACGGGCCGAGAAAGAGGCCGAAGGTAAAAAGGTCGGAGGCCGGGAGACCTTTCATTACGCAAATCGAGGAAACGGGTAATCGAAGGGCACCAGGAGCGTAGGTCACGAGCTGCCGTCTCAATGGGGACGGGATGAATGGGGATTCCTGGACTGAGGAAGAAGAACGAGGTCCGCCCAGTTCCGCTTCCGCAGACCGCTTCCACCGGCCTCGTTGACCACAAGAAGCTTGAAACAAAAAAAGAAAAAGAAGGGCGTTTCAACAGTACCTAACCGTTATGTGTATGTTTTTTAATGTATAAATTCACATACAATCCTTCTCCTGTTTACCCTGAATATATCTTTTTGCGGACAAATAAATCATTTTTAACATTAGATTAACGATTTTAAATTAATCATTTATAACATTACGTTAACCCCTTTTAACATTAATTTTCCTTTATGATTTCCAATTAACCATTTCCATTACATTAAATTAACTTCTTTTAACTTAAGTTAATCTCTTTTACCATTAAAAAAAGCTTTTTCCGGACAAATTAATCATTTTTAAAATTAGATTAACGAATTTAAATTAACCATTTATAACATTACGTTAACCCCTTTTAACATTAATTTATGATTTCCAAGTAACCATTCCCTGTACATTAAATTAAATTCTTTTAACTTAAATTAATCTCTTTTACCATTAAATGGAGCTTTTTTCGGTCAAATTAACCATTTTTAACATTAAATGAACGCTTTTCCTTTTAAATTAAACCGATTTAACTTTTAATTAATCCTTTTTAACATTAAGTTATTCCTTTATGATTTCCAATTAACCATTTTTTTACATTAAATTAATCCCTTATAGTATTAAATAATGCTTTTTCGGTCAAATTAATTAATATTAGATTAAAGATTTTTAATTAGCTTTTTATATTTATAGCATATTAACTCTTTTTAATAATTTTAATTTAACCCGTTTTAACACTAAATTAATCTCTTTT